GAATTTTACAGCAAATATTCATCAATTAGTTAGCCATGCCGCGTATTATGTTTTACCCACCATCATGCCCCCAGTTGAACAAACAATGAATAATCAATAATAACCGTCCACCCGCATAATTCTTTTGAAAACTTGAGCTAGAAACTGCTAATCTAGTTTGCTTGGCCTAACCAATACTTGTGTATCTGCACGTCCTTACACCTTATAGTTTTGCTGCTCTAAATCAGCAGTATTTAATACGAATGACAAAAGACTGAAAACGGTCCACTTTTACTCTTAGGTGAAGCTGTAGTAAAAATGTTAGACCGATAGCTCACGTGACTTTTTGCGTAGGCGTGCGCAAAAATTTTCGTTAAATTTGAACGGTTTTTGTTGAGTAACTTTGTTCATGTAGTTTATATTTACATCAAATGAGACTCCTAATTGTAGATTGTAAAGATGTATCAATGTGCTAAATTTGAAAAAAAAATCCATAAAAGTTAAGTATGTTTTTCTATTAAATGAAGTTTCCGTTCTTTTGGTGCCAAGAAAAAAAAATGGAGATGTTATATCCCAGGTATTTCTCAATGGATTGCCTTTAAATTTGGTTTGTGAAGAAAAAGTCCAGTAGAGCACATTCACTGAAAATATGTGATAGTTTGGATTACCACAGTCCGAGCTACAAAAGGTAGAAAATCGCTAAAGTATCACTCCTTTCAGAGTGTGTCCTGCAGGTTGTCTTTTTGGCCGCATCACACACTACCGCTTGTCTTGATATTTTGTTTACGATTAATGTACAAAACAACAACTACACAAAGACCAGTTACCTGCACAGGGGAAAGTCTGTAGGGGCTTGAGCTCCTATCTTTATGCCCCAAAAGTAACCCTTTTGTTCTCTGTCATAAAAACTGTCAACAACTACGAAAAGATACACCAGATTCCACACTTTACTTACTGCGAATTATTAGAAAAAAAAATTCAGCGTTAAAATAAATGACACATAGAGACTTGCAGGTCTTTATAGTAAAAATAATTTTGATATGCTAGTGTTAGTACGCAATGATTCACTATTTAATTTTATATAGTAAAAATGCTTATAAGACCAATAGAATAGGAATTAAATGGGATCTGATTACTTCTACGTTTTTTGCCCTATGTATACCAGTTGTAACCCACAGCCCCCATAGTGTCTAACATTCCCCTCCCACTTGCTTTATGGTGCTTGAAAAGTGCCCTTTTTGTAAATGAACTCCTATTTTTCAATGTCCTCTGCAAATGATTGACAAAGAACATG